CTTATATTAAAGTTTTTCTTCATTACCCATTCAAGCAGTCTCCAGCCATTATTAAAATGAAGATGGTATTGTTCACATAAGAGTGTAAACATTGTGTATATGTTTGAAAAATATTTTCCACAGTGTTCATTACAAACCTCTTGAGGAATTTATACCATAAATTCGCTTGTAACAAGGATTCCATTATTTTGTTACACTATAGTAATACACTTAGATCCAACTTACACACATTTAAAGATTGATCAAAATCAACAGTAAACCTTTGTATGCATTTTACAAACATTTGTAATTATCAAGTTGCTCATACATGCTAAAATAGGTTTTTCTTTATTAGATTGCCATGTGTTACAAATAACCAATTGTGCTTTGATCACTTTCATTTGATGGAGCTTTCTATAGGATCTGTAAAGCTGGACATGCTGGTTAAGAAATACACTTTCTCTTAATCATGTTAGCCAAACATAGTAAGAGTAGGAGCTACATTTGCATCTTCTCAGGGTGTAGATAAGAGTAGGCTTAAAGTTATGTTAAACAAAAAGCAGCAGGAAGTATTTAATGTAACTGATATTAAGTTTGATGATGATCTATTTGTTGTAGATTTGCTACATGTAAATATCATTGACTTTTTCTCTAATAAACTTGGAAAAAGTAGTTTCAGTTATGCTCTGGGATAAAGGTAAGGGAAAAAAAAAGAGATGATTTCACAAAAGTATTTCTATTTCATGATATTTGTTCATTATCTTATGTGAATGTTTTGTTTTATTGTTGCTTTATCTGATTAGGTTTCTGTAATTTTGTTTTTCTGTCAAAAGTGAAATTGTTAGTTATTTTAATCACTAAAACTTTGCTAGCTACACAGATATTTGTCCAAATGTTCATGTGTTGGGGAAACAAGTGATTTGCTGTGTTTAGAGGCAATATGAAATCTATAAACTATGGAGTTTATAATCAAAACAACTAGTGTGTTTTAGATCTGTCTGACAAACATGCAAGAATAGACTAATTCTAATAGAAACTTGACTACTCTTTCAGTAGCACATTTTAATAGTAACAAGTATTGAAATATTGACTAATCTTGTAGTAGCACATTTCAAAAGTGAAAAGTATTGAAATCTTGACTAATCTTGTAGTAGCACATGTCAAAAGTAACAAGTATTGAAATCTTGACTAATCTTGCAGTAACATGTCAAAAGTAATAAGTATTGAAATCTTGACTACTCTTTCAGTAGCACATGTCAAATGTAACAAGTATTGAAACCTTGACTAATCTTGTAGTAGCACATGTCAAAAGTAACAAGTATTGAAATCTTGACTAATCTTGCAGTAACATGTCAAAAGTAATAAGTATTGAAATCTTGACTACTCTTTCAGTAGCACATGTCAAAAGTAAAAAGTACTGAAATCTTGACTACTCTTTCAGTAGCACATGTCAAAAGTAAAAAGTACTGAAATCTTGACTGATCTTGCAGTAACACATGTCAAAAGTAACAAGTATTGAAACCTTGACTAATCTTGTAGTGGCACATGTCAAATGTAACAAGTATTGAAACCTTGACTAATCTTGCAGTAACATGTCAAAAGTAATAAGTATTCAAATCTTGACTACTCTTTAGTAGTCAAGATTACAAGTCAAAAGTCAAGTATACATGTCAAAAGTAACAAGTATTGAACGGTTGGTTGTATTATACTAATTGGTAAGAAGTGTACACATATTGGAAGCTTGACTACATTGTATTCAAAAGCAACAAATGTACACGTGTATTGGTTGCTTTACTGTTGTCATACTCACTATCTTTTTATTTTGTTATTGCTCATATAACCAAGAGTTCTGTGATGTTAAGTAATAATCCCATAAATTTGTTTTTGTTTCTGGTAACCAAATGAAAAGATTATAATTTTTTGTGACATAATGAATGCTGATATACCAAAAGTACTAGAGAAAGTTTTTGAGGAATCACATTTTTTCATGTTTTTTAGAAAAGTTTAAAAGATGAATTAAAAACTGGAATACATCTTGGTATGAAAACTTTATTAAATGTAGGTACGTTACTGTGTGATGTTGAATAAGGAATAATTTGTTTAGCATGCTTATAATGTTATCAAAGTGTTTTGTGTGAATGTTGCAATATGTATATTGTATATTACTGTAAGAAAATTAAACTGTAAATTGTATTAGTTCATTTTTATTGAGATTCCTGGTTTAGAATTTATTAAGCATGCGTAAAACACCACATTAAATTTTAAACTAAAAACTTAGTGCCTTAACCTTTTGGGGGGCTCAGAGTTTTTTTTAATCTGATGTGTAATGATTGAAGTTCATGTTTATATTTTTACAGTTGAAGATGTAGTAGCAGTGTGCTCATCTTCTGGTTAACAGCTGGATTTCTTAGCTTAATGGCAAGAGATTCTAGCAATGTAAGTTGGATTTCTTTCAGGGATTGAAGGATAGTGTGGAAGAAATTGTAGACAGGTGAAACATCACATTCATTTAGACAGGGGTTGGTAATAAAGCTGGTGTTGTAGGTTTTACAATTTCAGTGTTCCTTTATTCAACTGCAGAGCCTTTTAATGGTTGATCCAAAGTACCCTTGGTTGTAGCTCAGGCACATGAACTCGTATATACCTTGAGGATATTCAGTGGATGTTATTTGTCATTAAAGCTGAAGATCCCTTTTAATCTAGACCTATTTCCAAGATACAATTTAACTGAACTTGTGGATATAACTGTTTGATAATTTTCTACTTAATCACCTATGAAGTAGTGCCTAAGTGGGATGTTATTAAAGTAACAATTTTCATTGGCATATCTAACAGAACAACAGATTGGGTGTATGTTTTTGTGTGTGTGTGTGTGTGTGGATTATTCTATTTAGGATTGTCAACAGAAAATAATTTCTTCTAGACATTTATTAAATGTTTTGAATTTCTGCTTCAAAAAGGTATTGATTTCCTGCTACACAGAGCATTTAAAATATTAAAATCTCTGTGTAGCAGGATTTTAACCAAATTTTCTTTAAAAACTGAGAGAGTGAGATTTTCAAAATGTTAATATAGTCCAGTGGAAGTTGTTTAGTGATACACTGTAGTGGTAACTATACCCTTTTTATTTAAGATATAAACACTTCAGTACGAGAGTTTACTGTTGGAATTTAACAGAATGACATGATCTATCTGTAACTATAGCATTTGAACAATCTATATAAATTATGCTAACTGCATGTAAAAATACAAAAACAAGAAAGTAGAAATTAATTTTATTTATTAAAACATTAAACATTTTATTTAACACCTGATAGATAGATTAAAACTATAACTTAAAAAAAGTCTCAGTTTATAGAATTAATTAAAAGGCAAAACGTACTGCATCAACTTTATTAAGAAAATTATAGATTAAAAACTTTTCTCAGATAGGTAAATTTGATGTAAAAATAGCCCTCCCCTGTTTAATTTATTATCTGCTAAGGTTGAAAAAACCCCAACATAATTTAAATGGTAAAATACATTGTGGCAATAAGATTTCAACAAATATTTAGGGTAGGAATGGGCATATATCATAAAGCCCTTCTCCCAGGAACATAATTGTGATATAGCTTTCATAAATGGTTGCAATTGTAACAAATGGTTGTAAACAATTTTATTTTTCATGTCCTTCTATACTACTAACTACTATTGGCCCATTTGGGGTTCAATAGTAAGTATGGCTGCTTATAATGGCAGAATTCAGAGGCTGATCCCCTTAGTGGACACAGTGTAGATAGCTCAGTGTGTAGCTTTGGACTAAAACAAACTAACTTAACTCCATAATGTGATCATTACTGTGTGGCTCTTCCTTTAATAGTTTTAAATCAACTAGAATAAACTAGTGAGTAACTAATTTATTTTCGGGCACATTGTGTTTATATATTAAGAGTAAAAAACACAAAATCTGATGGTTTTTTTTGGTTTTAAGTGACTAGTTTCGATAACATAGTTACTGTCATCAAGACTACTACCACTGATGATGGTAACTGTTTTTGGTTTTAAGTGACTAGTTTCGATAACATAGTTACTGTCATCAAGGCTACTACCACTGATGA